TTTTTTCCCCTTTTTTTTTTTTTTTTTTTTTTTGTCCTATCCTCTTCCTCAGACCACTTATCTCTGCCCCCTCCTCTCTCCCAGCACCCATCACAGCCTTCCCCTGATCTGCCCCTTTAAGAAAAATCAGCCCTCTCCGCTCCTCACCCTCCGCACACTGACCTTACACACTGGACAATATTTAAGGATCAAGGTGCCATCCTAGGAAGAGGTGATTATCATTATATTATTATTATTATTACTACTATTATTACTACTACTAAATAGCAATGCTGAAGAGAGTTTAACAGATGTCATCTTGCAACCGTAGTTAGTTTAGACATGCTTTTGTTTTTAGTCTGAAAAAATATTTTTTTACTTAACTTTTCAACCACCGTCCTGTCTTTATTTTCTTCCTGCCCTTTTTTTTTTTTAATTTAACCCTCTTCTCCTTTCTCGCCCCCTTCGGCTCGGGGTGGGGGAGGATTTGCATAACTTTAAGAATAATAACTTTTAAAATAACAGAATTTGCGCTGTTGTGTTTTGTCGGTATTTCTCGTGTTTCTACCAGAGTGTTTCGGCGCTCGGCAGCTCCGCTCCTTCTCCCCCGCTCGGGTTGTCAGTGTTTGCGGGTGTTTCGACCCGGGCCGCGGCCCCCACATCGGGAGGGCCCCGGGCCCCGCACCCCTCCGGGAGGGGACGGGGAAGGAGGGCGGCCGCTCCCCTCTGCCTTCCAGGTGGAAGGGAAGCTGCGCGCCGGGGCAGCGCTCCCCAGGGACGGGGGAAGCCGGGAGACACCCGAGGAAAGGGGGGAGAGGAAGGACAGACACCCCCGGAGCGTCGGGGAGCCCCGCAGGACCTGCCCACCCCCCCGGAGCGGAGGTAGCGAGAGCCCGGGCAGAGCCGCTTTGAAGAGAGGAGCGAAGTGTAAATAGCCGGTGATTGATGTGCTGGCTTTGACTGCGGAGAAAGCACTATTTTAATTCAAGTGGCCAGGTCAGATGGTCATGGAAGAAGGTTGAAAGGTAGGATTTAATGAGATTAATATGGAGAGAGGGAGAAACGCGCGCCTTCCTAAACATTCCATAAAATAATGGGGTGAGGGGAGCGCGGCGTCCGCGCTGGAGGTGCGGACCCATCCCGGGGAGACCCGGGAGCCCTGGCACAGAAGGGCACCGCAGAAACAAAGCAAAACTTGTGTAGGTGCGTCAGGTCCCTGCTGGAAGCCATTCCGCCAGCTGCACTCCTGCCCTGCAGGTGGAACTGGGGAGGGGGGAATATTCCTGCTAATTACCGGTTTTCCCCTCCTCAATAAACTCTTTAATTGCAAATAGGAGAGGGGGCCTTTCAGATGCTACCGAGGAGCCGCGTTCGAGGGCAGGGGTGGGGGAGCAGGAGGCCAAATAAAATAAATCCGTTTGAAGGGAACTCGGAGCCACGTGTCGCCTAAAATGCCGAAGCGGTGCCTGTGAATTCCTGCCTCGAGGACGCCGTTCCACGGCACGGCGGGCACCCCGAGGTTGGAAAAACAAGCTCTTCCCAGCCTCACCGGTGAAACAGGAGCTCGAGTGTTTCCAACTCATTGAAATATTTCTTCCAGCGCTCCTGGGCGCTCACTGTCCCCGCGTCCCCCACCGAGCTGCTCCTGGGACGGACGGATTTCACTTTGAAAACGTGGTCCCGGGTTATTTGTCCCTGTTATTACAGCGGTCTTCTGGGAGAAGACCGAGTAAAGCCGAGAGACCCACGGCTGGCGAGGGGAGGATGCCCCGGTGGCCGCGTCCTCCTCCCCGAGCCGGGGGACGAAGGACACGGAGGGCCCGGAGCACCGGGCCGGGACCGCGGCCGTGCCCCCCCCTGCAGCCCCAGCGCGGCACAACCCCGGCTTTTGTTTTCTTGCCAAACCCTCCTGCGTCCCCAGCATTCCGATTCCCCTGGGAATCAGCTCCTGCGGTAAATAGCCAAGCTCCAGCGGACCCGCTCGCAGATATTTAGGGAGACGCAAAACGCTTTCGGGGGTGCACGGGGGGTAGAGGGGGTTCGACTGTGGTTTGGGTGATGCTTCTGCCAACGAAGCCACCACGAAGCGGCCCCGCCGGCTCTGTCCGAGCCGCTGCGGCCGTTCCTGCCGGGCTGGAGCGGAGCTCCCGCGGCCACCGGCGGGCACCCAGCGGGGCCGGGCTGAGCGGCGCTTCGCTGGGCCGGGAAAGGGGGAAAAATGGAGGGGGGAAAAAAGCGCCCTAAAATAAAAATGCGGGGAAAAAAAAAAGTGAGAAAAAAAAAATCGAGAACGAATTCTGAAGGGCCGGTGCCGCGGGGTGCCGGCGGTGGGCTGCGGGGCGTGTGGGAGAGAACACGCTGTCACCCCCCACACGAGTGGGGTTCCTTCCCCAACCAGGCACAGGCGGGTGATTGCGGTTCAGCCCCTGGGAACGGGCCCCGTTTCTCCCCTTCGCTTTAAGCAAGAACAGCTCGAGAGGCTGCAGGGCTGGTGGCAGGGACAGTGGCCGGGGTGCTTCGGGGACAGCGTGTCCTCAGGACACGCTCCTGTGCCCACCGGGGGTTGTTCCTCACTCCACGGGTGCCTCGAGCATCCCGGCACCGAGACCACCATGGAAGGAGAGGGGCTCCTGAGGTTCAGCAAACCCCCGGAGAGAGGTGTGCGGCCCGGGCAGGGAGAGCCTCGCAGCCCCCCGGCATCCCCGAAGCCCCCTTGTCCCGCCGGGGGCACCGGCTTTTCCAGCCTGCACCTGTCTGAGTGCGTGTCGCTTCCACGGGGAAGAGCAAACTAATTAGCGTGGAGGGAGGGGGAAGCGCCAGGAAGGTTCTCGGCTCTCCCGGGTCAAGCCGGGTGGCTGCCAAGGAGCCGGGGCCCTGCCCGGCCTGGAGACACTCGTGCTCCGCCACTTCCCGAGGAACTCTGCCCACGGCGAGCCTGGGGCACCCTGGGGATGGCTGAAGGGAAAAACGATTCCCCCGGCCGATTTTCCACCGAGCCTTAATAACTAGGAAATAACAGGGAAAGACGCAGCCACATCCCTCTGCACCACATGCGTGTCAGGGGACCCGCAGTGCCCCAGCGGCGGCACGGCCCGGGGTGAGGATGGGGAGGGTCTGGGGGCTCAAGGGAGCGAGCGGTACCGAAACCCCCCCTGTTCAGAGTTTATCCCCTCCGCCCTCGCCCCTCTTTGCACGTCCATCCCCCTCACGGACATTTCAGCCCGCGGCCCCCGCAGCGCGGGGGGGTCCCCGCAGCTCTGGGGAGGGGGCGCTGGAGCGGCGGGAATTTATGGGTGGGTTCCCTGGCATCTCCACCACAAGCCATGTGTTCCCAGGTACTTCAGAAGGCCAGCTTGGAACACACGCTCCAGGAGAAGCGCTGCGTGGGCACCCACGGGCAGCGGGGGCACAGGAGAGGGGAAAGGCGCTTTGCGAGCTGTTTAGCGCAAGTGTTTTTAAGCAGTAAAGAAGATTAGAATGGTTGCGCTAGTCCAGCTTGTCCGGGAGCGCCAAGTAACCCCTTCCCAAGGATTTTCGCACAAATCACTCCTTGTTCCCGCGCACGGTTGCGGCGGGATTAAACCAAGAATTAATATTTTCAACTACGCAAGAGCCCGGTGGCACAGGACGGGGCTGCGAGCCCCGCGCAGATTAGGCGGTGAGAAAGTCACACGCTTCCAGAGGGATTTTCCCTCCTAATCTGCCGTTAATAAGCAGAGGAAGCGCACCCACGGGGGGATGAAGGACTGCCTCGCAGCCACGCCACGGAGCACTGTGCCGCTCATCCCCCGCCGCCAAGGAATTCCAACACCTTTGGGACGCGGTCCCTGCGTGGAGCCGGCGCAAGGGGGCGGTTAAGGACAGGTGGGAGCCCCGGGGGTCCGGGGGGAGCTCCCACCGAGCATCCTCCGCCCCGGGCCGCCGCCGGGGATAGATGGTTTGCGTTCCCAGCAGCGGCTCTGCTGGAAGCCGGGGTGAGGAGAAAAACATAAAAATAACAAAACTAAAACTCTCTAAGGGTGGCTGCGGCCCCCTCCACGCTGAGGGTCCCCCCCGGTGCCGCTCCGTTCCCGGGCTCACACCCGCTCCACACGCAGGTGGGGAGTGACCGAGGCTCAGTGCCGGAGCCACATCCTCCACCCGCCAGACTCCGGCAGCTCCTTCCCTGAACTGACCTATTTACACACTCGTTGGTTTAAATTAGTATTTTACCCGAAAACCTTTGAGAAGCGCCGGAACAAGCACTACTGAGAAAGACAGAAATGGCTGCATTTTGTACAGGGGAAAAAAAAAATTAAATCACTCTTACTGGTCCTCTTAGCGATGAAATACAGGGGGGAAAGGTTAATATCGCTGCAGAACCTGTGCCTGCACGTCACTGTCCTGTACCTCACTGCTCTGATATTCCTCTGCACTGAAACCAGTCTGTGCATCAAAATGAGCTTATGAGACTATTTTTTCTTTCTTATTTCTAGAAGAAATCACTGGCTCCTCTGGCCATGAAAAAACACCGTGTAAATTGCCATTTCAGATTTTTCAAAAAACACGTTTAGCTCTAAGAATTCTTCCGAATTCGTTACACTCCACCGCGCGAGGCTGCGCCTTGATGGCCCCGGCGAAGGTAAAAATGCAGGTCTTAAAATAAGTCGTAAAAAAAAAAAAAAAAAAGAAAAAAGAAAAAAGAAAAGCACTATTTACATTTGAATATCTAACTTGAACAAGATTATAATTACAATCGTCAGAGATCGAGCAATGTTGTCTCCAAAACGGCAGCCCATGAACAGACAGTTTCGGGGATGTAAACACAGCAGTTTTAATCGTGACGGTCTCTGGGAATGAAGGGAAATTAAGGAGTTATAGCAATTTTTGTAGACGTTTGATCAAAATATTTTTGCCCGGAGACCGCTTGCCAAAGGAAAGCTGATGGGCGCTGTAATTCGGCAGTTTTGTCATGGAAAGAGCTCAAATCCCCGGTCTCAGGGCAGGCGTTCTCCTTCGCCCGGGGCTTTAGGAAAGGTTCTCTCCCTGCAGGAGGTGACCCTGGGAAACAGGTACTGGGGAAGTAATTTTCGATCAAGCATTTTTCAGCTGAAATACCGTACTAAAAGGCACTAAAACGATCCGTGTTCGCCTTTTCCCTCGGAATTAACAGAACTCCCCTAATTTAAGGCTTCCAGCGAGCTGCAGCACCCGGCGGGGCTGGGGTACATTAATCCTCCCGCGGTATCGGCACAGGGGCTCCCCTGGACGGGGGGACCCCCCGCTCCTCTTGGGCCAGCCCCGAGCCAGGCCCGCACCGGGCTGAGCCAGGGAGAGACTCGCTGTAATTAAGCGTTATGGGGGCAGAGCGGAGGGGGGGTGAGCGAACCGCAGCCCCCCCAAAATGCCATTTGCTGTCCTGCCAGAGATCGGATCGGAACCCTCCCCGCGAACACCGCCCGCTCTGGGGGTGACTCCCCTCCCCTAGCGCTCCCTGAGGAGCCCCCGGGGGATGCCCCCTCACTCCCCTCTCCCCCCGCTGCCTGGGGGTGCACGGGGCGGGGGGGGTCGGTCTCCGAAGCACAGCGCGATGCTGCCCTAACCCGACGTGGGGGACACCCGAGGCTGTCCTGCTTCTCCTCCGCCTTCCCCGGGTGCGGCCGGACCGGGGTGCGGAGCCCCCTCCGTGGAGGGTGCGGGGCCGGGGGTGCGAAGCCCCCCGGGTTACGCGCCGGCTTTGTTTGCGCTTCCCCCGCTAAGGACGGCTGGGGCGGAGCTGCCCGGATAATTATTAGCTATTAATTGAGTTCAAGACCTTTTATGGCGATGGGAAATGAGGAGTCCGACCACTAATCCCGAGGAGGGGCTGCGCGCAGCCCAGAGCCACGACCGCGCCGTCCGGGGCTGGCCTGACACAACGTCCCGGGGGCGGGGGGAGAGCAACGAAAAAAATTCATTAGGTGAAAATTATAGGAACTTTAAACCGAGGGATTTATTTAGGAGACACCTTCGGGAGCCGCCGCTGAGAGCGGGGGGAGAGGGGCGAGAGCCCCCGACGATGCCCGACGGGGCGGATCGGGGGCCGCCCCGGGCAAGGTGAGGAGCGGCGGCCCGGCCTCCCCCCGGGCCCCCAGGGAGCAGCGGGGCTGCTCTTACCGATTCCGTTTCCTTATCTTTACACGCTTCCACCTTCCAATTAAACTTCCCCAAATTGCCAAAAGCCTGATTTGCATGCAAGGGACCCCGCTCAAAGATGCTAACTTATTGTCTCCTCCCAGAACTTAACATTTCTCTCTTCAGTTCCCACTTGAAAGAAGTTTTAGAACAGTATTCAAAGACTGTCCAAACGAACAAAACCTTCCCCTTCGCTCGGGAGAGAAATCCGGTGTATTCAATACGAGGGCATATTCTCAAAAGTTTGCAGATTTGGGTTTAAAGGAGGTATTGTTCGTGCCTTTTTCCTGAAACTTCTTTATTTTTTCCCCCTCAGCGCACGGCTCACATGCCTGCAAAGGATTATTAAAATAAAACATCATAGAGCATTTTTCCCTTTTTTTTTTTTTTTACTGTTTAGAATTACTTTTCTGGAAGAGCTTTCCAAGCATCCCCCCCACCCCGCAAGTCATAATTAAGAACACTTTTTTTTTCTAACAAACAGGAAAAGTAAAGAATCAAACCGTTCTCCGACTCTGCCTTTTTTCTTTAAACACCGAGTTCTAAAATCGGAAATATTTATCTGTTCCAAATACACCTGAAAAAGCTCTCGGTGCTGGATAGACGCTGCTTTTCTACAGCAGAAGGAATTAAAACGGCGAGATTTTGATACCAGGAGGATCTCTGCGAGCATAAAGTAAACGCAAAACTCAACTCTTACTGGGTTTGCAAAATCTGTTTACAAGGCGACATGATCTCTGCCTTCAAACACTCCCTTCCACACACAGTCCCCCGCAGTTGTCTTTTTAGGATTAAAAGAAGATGATCCAGCGGGCTAAGGATGTAAAAAGTCCTTTTGGGAATGCGATAAACTGCAAAAAGCCAGTGGCAACTCATTTCTGATTAACTCCTTTTTATAAAGGGGCGGAATGGAAGCGAACAGGGACCCGACGGGACACGAACATATTTTATTCATTTAATACAAAGCAGCTTTAAAAAAAAAAAAAAAAATCTTTAAAAAGGCAGTTCAGAGCATAACTCACGGGCCGGGGGGGAAGGCAAAAAGCTGATGGGGTGTGAGGTGATGTCGCCGTCATCCCTCGCTCCCAGGAGAGCGGGGAGCGCTCCGGGCAGCGGGAGGGACGCGCTCCCCGGGCTGCGGCCGCACCACCGGGGCTGGGAGGGGGGGACACAGCCCCGGCCCCCCGGGACCCCCGGCCCATCCCAGGGGGACAGCCCCTTTGCTGGGGACCCCCCCAGCAGGACCCCGGCTCTCCCCGCTCCCCTTAAAGGCGGAATCAATGAAATCGTGTAAGCGCCCAGAGCACAAAGAGCTCCTGTCCTCGGCTCTGCAGATCATAACCAGAGATGGGAAAGTATTCACAGCACCCTCCAAGTGACTGGGCCATCGCTACCAAAAAAATAATATTTTTAACCACAGGGAACCAAGAGTTCACGTAGATTTACAAATTAATGAGGACTTACTGGAGAAAGTAACTGCAAGAACATGTGTTAAAACGCAACAGAAAGAATTCCACCGATTTCCATGAGAGGTGGACTGCATCCAGGAAGAATGAGTCAACTTCATTCCTTGGGTAAAACTCACAAACTGAAGGGAATTACTCCAGGCATGCATTTGGATCACCTCGTGTCCCCCCATTTCATGTATTGCTGTCCCACTAATCACCCCTTAAATGTTGTGATGGGTTAGAACAGGGTGGGGATTCTTTTAAAAAGTGCTTTAAATCACTGGAAATTAGTGTTTTAACAAATGTATTTTCCCCCGGTATAACATCGGTTACAAGTAATTGTTCAGCCAAAAAGGCTCTCACACACGAGACAACACAGTCCAGTGCAGGGCAGAACAGCTCAGGGCACAAGCAGGAACAGAGTCACAGGGATTCAGTCCTGTGTTCTGGCTGTTTGTCCTGCTGCTAAATCTCGTTTCTCCTCTCCCCACAGTTTGAGTGTTAAACTGTTCAAGGTTTTGGTTTCATAGCTATGGAGGAGGTGAAAGCTCTTGAAGGCACCGAAAAGTTCCCTCCCCAGCTCCATTCCCCTGCTGCAGGGAGATGCTGTTCACCCCACAGCAACGAGCAGCACCTTTAATCGAGACAGAAACCCTTCTGCAGTCACACAGGCACACTCCCTGGGTTTTACTTCACAGGTGGAAGAACAAACTACCCATTAATTTAAGAGGTTTGGGTTGAAACCTCGGAAGACTGTGATGGGAGCAATGAGAAGACAAACACTGACACACTGTCAGAGTTCTGCTCTTTGCCTTCAGAAGCCCTGAATTTCACACAGACCCTCCCAGAACTTCCATTAACACACAAAGGACATACCAAACATTTAGAAACAAGGTCATCAGGCTTCTCAGCCTTACTGGTGGCTTTTTAGCCCACAGATTTGCTACACGAGAGCTTGTGGCAGTCCCCCAGGAGTGCCACAGGTTTGTGGATGATAATAATGAGGTGCAGCTCATGATAAGCTAATCAATGAACAGTTAAAAACCAAGCTCCAAAGACATGCTTAGAAAACGAAATGCAAATATATACAAAATAGTCAATGCTTTCTATGAATATAAATGTCTGTCTACCTCATGAGTGCTATTTTCCAGCCAGCTTTCCAACCAGTGCAGTCTTTGCACTTCTCTATCTACAATTGTACCATTTATAAGCCAGGAGCCCACCTCGCCCATGTGCTTATTCCTACAGTGACTCATGTTCCATTGGGTTTATTCCTGTGAAGACTTGTGCTAAAACAGAGGAAAGTGCAGAGCCTTTGGGGAGGGAATGGCACAGTTTGGAAAGCATCAGACACGCTCACTGTTCCCTGTCAGAAAACGAGAGCTCTGATTTACATCCCCTGCGAGAAAAAGGCTTTTACAACTGATATGGCCTTAAAAAATAAAATATTACTTTGATAAGTGGGTCAAAAGTCTTGCTGAACGACACTGGCACAGGTTGCCCAGATAATCTGTGGCTGCCCCATCCCTAGAAGTGTCCAAGGCCATCAGCTCCAGAAAACCCTGGGTGATTCTCAACAACATCCTGAGAGCACAGCATCACCGTTTCCTGATGGACACCTCCTCATGGTTTCACAAATACATCATGAGTTGCTCCACTGCCTTTCAGCTGCAGTTTTGCTCCTTCAGTATAAATGAGATGGGGAAGTAGTTTCATTTCTCTGAAGTCTAAAGTTTAATAGAGTGAACTGAGAAGTTTCTTGAAAAATAATGGAGTGAGATCATCCATACAATGATTTAAATATGTTAAGGAAACCCCTGTCTGACCATCCAGGAGCTGCTCTGGCAGTCCTACTCCCAGCACCAGAGACTTTTCCTGCTGGGACTGAAGCCCTCCAGGAGCCACCAGGAGCTCCCCACACACCCCACTGCCACAGTCAGACCAGGCTTCCAGCTCAGCTTTAGCAGAGTCTCAGATGTCTCGCTCCATAAAGCCCTTTATCCATGGCACAGTGACTCCAACAGCCCGAGCTGGTGCTTCTGAGGGGGCACCCTGAGCAAAGGACCCCCTGGGCTTTCATCCCCTCCCAGTCCAAGCTGTTCTCCTGAGCCATCAGCTCCTGATGTCTCACAGTTCCCTCCCCTGGCTGCCCCACAGTGCCCTTTGCTGCTCAGGTGATTATGATGGGGGCAGAGCTCCTTCAGATGGGGAACACGTTATCTGTACAACTATTACTGACAGCTTCTTAACTCCATTTTTAAGCAAGCCAGAACATGAACCGATTACAGATCATAAAAGGACTTAACATTGGGAAGGGAATTTGAGTCACAGTCAGTGATTTTGTCACAAAGCTCAGCTGAGTGAACTATCCAGGCACAGTGAAACACTTCCTAAATGTATCATACACCAACTATGGGCTGGCAGGGCACAACAAGGGTGAAAAGAATGACTGGGAAATAGTAAAACACAGCAAAGCTGCAGCAGGAGAATAAGCAGTCAGTGCCCCCAGCTTCTTTTTGAAGCAGATAAGAGTTGCTGCTGGTTTTGAGATGACACCCAGCCTCGGGAGAGCCCTGCCAGCAGAGCAGGTCAGCAGTTCTGCACTGGAACCACCTCAGCCTTTCATTTCCACAGCTGGACCCATTTATCACAGCCCCACCTTCACCAGGGAAGGGAAAACTTTCAGTTTAAACAAAGCCACCCAAACCCACTGCATCTTACTCTGAATAAAGAACAGAAATCAAGAGCTGTGTTGTCAGTGTTGTCATTCACGAGGGCACTGCTGGTTCCCCCCACCCTGAAACACACACCAGCTCCCACTAAACTGTTCATTTGCTTATCACTCAGGTTGTTGGAAAGTTACAGCTCTGACAGCCGCCCCAGACATCATCTCACTGTTCACACACAGAGATATCACACAAGGAAATGCTGGGTTCGTATGTATTAACAGTACTCCCAAATTTATCATACCCATGGTACAGATCTGGAAAATACTCAGGCACCCTTAGTCATATAAACTGTCCCAAGCTCACAGAAGTAAGAGATGATCTATTAAAGAATAACCAAAACCCAGGACACGTCATCCAAGAACAGAATCACAACTCACAAAGTTATTCAGTGGGTAAACCCAATATTTTTGTCACTCAAGTGGCTGCATTTTGTCAAGAAAAAAAAAATCTCAATAAAAGAATTTTATTCTGGTAGGATGAGAAAAATGCTAAACATGTTTTTATGGGAGAAACAGAGATAGAGCACTGGCTTGAAAACCGAAAATCTCTCATGCCCTGATCTATAAATAAAACTCGCTGGGTTTTTCTTTTGTACTAAATTTAAAGGAAAGTCTTTTCCATGGAGAGTTTTCTTTAAAGCAGACTGTGCCCCAAAAGGACTTTAATGATGGTGTTTCCAGCAAGCAGCATGAATGAATTAAACAATAAGTGCAGCAGGAACAGCTGTGTGTTCCTTTACCAGAAGCAGATGGATGTGCAGTTCAAACACGGTTGGGTTCTCACAAGAGGACGGTTCCAGACAGTTCTCACCCACATTACAACCACACTTTTCCCTCCCCTTGTGCTCCAGGGCCTTGGCTCAGGTGCCATTTGCCCTCCAGCATCACCAAGAGCTCCAAGGTCGGCACCAGTGACCACCAGGCAGAAATCCCACATTTTGTTCCACACAAACCATCAAATTATTGATCTCTCTCCTACATGTTATCCACAGGACATGGGGGAAGAGGGGAGGAGAGATCCTCAGCCCTGCTTGGCAGACTCAGGTCAGCTCCATCCTCAGCACAGAGCAGCCAGAGCCTCACTGCTTGTCCTCACACAACTCCTTCCCTTCATAAACATCAAGGTCTTCTGGAATAACTAAGTCTGGAAGTCACCAAGGTCTCTCCCCTGCTCACAAAAATCTCACAGCCGTCTACCTGCAGCCAGAAGTTTCAAACCAACACCATCTCCCACAGTTCATCTGCCTTATAATGAAACACTGGGGTGCCCTGGCACTACAGGAGAGCCCCATGTCCTTTCGAAGAACATCAACCTTTGCTCACCAGCCTGGCAACAGCCACCAATTATTGTCATCTGGCATTTCACATGGACACTGTCACCTTCATTTCCCGACCAAACTGTTACCCAGAGCTGCTGAAAACGCACCATTTCACACCCAGAACAACAGCATTTCAGCCAGAGCAGAGAATAGTCATCCAGATTTCCCAAATCACTTTCTGTATTAATTCCACTTGCTCAAACTTTTCCTGTAATTTGCTCTCAAGTCTTGAACCTTCTCATCCTTTAACTTTTATATAAAGAAATAAGTTTTCTCCTACCTGCACCTGCTGTGTTCTTCTTCCTCTGCAGAGACGACGTTTCTGCTGACACACACGAGTTGGATCCCCACACCAACAACATCAGGACCCAGCAGACCTGCAAGAAACACTGAAGTTGAAGCAAACAGCTCATCCCCTTGCAGCAGGGCAGCTTCCCCCAGTCCCCCCTAGCCTGTGCTAGCAAGGCAGGTGCTCCAAAAGTCAGAGGTTTTAACACAATAAAACCCACAAAGGTTCCTCCTGGAACCATCTCAGCCTTTGCTGGTGGCACCCACGAGCAGGTTTTGCAGCCCAGGTTTAGTGATGCAGTGCAGGCACAAACCTGGAGCACAAACTGCTCTGTATTTTGGGGCTGTAACTCGGATTCTCTGCCCTGTACCTGTGAACCAGCCCCCCGTTCATCACCCCAAAAGAGCTGGAGAACACACAAAGAGGACGTGGAGCCTCCAGTTGGCAAGGAGGAGCCCACAGGCAGCAGGACCATCCCTTCCAGAGAACAGAACCTTCTGAAAGCCCCCAGAGCTGCCTTTGTGGACTTTATTTGATGAAGGTAAGGTGTGATGAGTCAGGTAGGTGGGCTAGGTGGATCCTATTCAGTTCACCAGGGCTGGGGCTGGTCTGAGGCATCAGGGCAGGTGCTGATGAGAGAAAATTGCTGCCTGAGCACTACCTGGTCTGGTGGAAACTGTCCCAGCCCATGGCAGGGGATTGGAATGGGATGATCTTTAAGGTCCCTTCCAACCCAAATTGTTCCAAGATTCTTTGATTCTCCAGGCACTGACTGACTGGAGAGATCCCTACTGTGTGTTCTAAGAAATGGAGATTTATTACATTACAAAGAGAGAAAAACCCACACATATTGAAACAGCTCACCAAGGCTAAAGAGAGACAACCAATGAATTTTAGGTGGGCTGCCAATAATTGCCAGAAATACGTAAGGCACATCTTGGGTCACTGAAATAACAGCTCCTCCTTCCCCCCATATGCTTATGGTGACTTGGGAATGGCAGCTCTGACAGCATTGGGGAATATGGGACAGATGAGTTAACTGTGATGTATCCCAAAGGGTCTGTACTTAGGACTCATTAATACTCATTATTTCCCAATGCTTAAAATCTCCTGTTTGAGGTAACTGCATGTTTTGTAAGTCTAAAGACCGAACTTCCTCCTCCGCACTCTGGAAACACACGAACCATCGTCATTCAACCTGCTGATATTTCTATTTCCGGAGGAGAGCAGGAACGCTGAAAAGAAAAAGAAAAAATTTAAAAAAAGAGTCTTTCCCAGCAAATTCTGATGTATAGGATGTGACATAACAGTGCAAAAACTTCTGGCAGAACCCGGGGATTTTAAATTGCTGCGCTGGATTTTGCTGTGGTGGGAGGTTTAATGTGCTGCACTTTGCCTCCAGCTCACACGGCAGAGCAGGCACTCACCTCGAGCGTGGGGCAGGCAAGGAGAAAACAATTTTCCAGGCAGAAATATATTGAGTTCCGAACACTGTTTATAGGTTCCAGTAAACAGAAGTGTTTGATGTAACGGGGCTTTCTGGCTACCAGGGAACCTTCGCGGGGCCCCGCGCAGGAGGGGGTGGCAGTGATGAGGTGGCAGGTACACGCTGCAGGGAGGTGAAAGGGGACACAACTCGATTTCCCTTCTTCCAGAACGATTTGCTGGGCTCTGGGTGTGTTTCCCTGGGCCCTGGCAGGGCACGCTGAGGAACAGGCACGGCCATCCCCCAGCGTGGGGCACCGGGGGGGGGTGATGGGGTTCGGGTCCCACATCTGCACAGAGGGTGCTCAGGAGGACAAGGGCCCACATTGGTTTTACTGATGTCCATAAAGAAGGGAATTAAATTAGTAATCTAGTTCTAAAAGATTTTATTTTCACTAAATGGAAAGGGATAAAAGCTCAGCAGCTCATGGGTAGGTGAAGTCTGTCTCTCTCCCCTTACCTAATCAGAGTGAACAGTTTGTAAAGTTGTAAAGGTCAGATGGGGTGAATCCAGATCTCAGTGACCTGCCCTGGAAAGCCTGTGACAGGTCTGGAAACACAACTTCCCAGAGGGTAAGGTGGAGATT